TGCCTACAAGATCTCTATCAAGCATTCTTACAACTACAATACCCACCTGCTGAAGTGAGGAAACAGATTGACAGAGCCAGAAGAGTACCCAGAAGTCACCTACTACAGGACAGGCCCAACAAAGAAAATAACAGAATGCCACTAACTGTCACCTTCAGCCCCCAACTAAAACCTCTCCAACGCATCATCAAGGATCTACAACCTATCCTGAAGGACGACCCATCGCTCTCACAAATCTTGGGAAACAGGCCAGTCCTTGCCTACAGACAGCCCCCCAACCTGAAGCAAATACTCACCAGCAACCACATACCACACAACAGAACCACTAACCCAAGAACCTATCCTTGCAACAAAAGCCCGTTGCCAACTGTGCCCACATATCTATTCAGGGGACACCATCATAGGGCCTAATAACATCAGCCACACTATCAGAGGCTCGTTCACCTGCACATCTACCAATGTGATATATGCCATCATGTGCCAGCAATGCCCCTCTGCCATGTACATTGGTCAAACTGGATAGTCTCTACGTAAAAGAATAAATGGACACAAATCAGATGTCAAGAATTATAACATTCATAAACCCGTTGGAGAACACTTCAATCTTTCTGATCACTCGATTTCTGACCTAAAAGTGGCAATTCTTCAACAAAAAACTTCAAAAACAGACTCCAACGAGAGACTGCTGAATTGGAATTAATTTGCAAATTGGATACAATTAACTTAGGCTTGAATAGAGACTGGGAGTGGTTGAGTCATTACACAAAGTAAAACTATTTCCCCTTATTTATTCCCCCCCCCCCCCGCCACTGTTCCTCAGACATTCTTGTTAACTGCTGGAAATGGCCCACCTTGATTATCACTACAAAGGGTTTTCTCCCACCCCCACCCCCACTCTACTGCTGGTAACAGCTCATCTTAAGTGATCACTCTCCTTACAGTGTGCATGATAAACACCCATTTTTTCATGTTCTGTGTGTATATAAATCTCCTCACTGTATTTTCCACTGAATGCATCCGATGAAGTGAGCTGTAGCTCATGAAAGCTTATGCTCAAATAAATTGGTTAGTCTCTAAGGTGCCACAAGTACTCCTTTTCTTTTTGCGAATACAGACTAACACGGCTGCTACTCTGAAACCAGTTATAACTATGACATTTCATTCAGTTTCACGTTCATTCACACGTTCGTTCATACACACACACAGGTTCTGCAGCGGCTGTATAGTTACCAGTCCTGAATGTAGCTTGAGTTCGTGGCTTGGGTTTGTAGCTTGTGGCAGCTAACTGGCCAGGAAAGCCAGGCACAAGGAAGAGCTGGGTCTCTGTTGGGCATGCACCGGATGCCCTTCCATGTTGGCAGCAGAATGTTACCCTTCAGAGTCTTCCATCTCACCCATCCTTTTTGTAGGCTTTAGTTTGAATCCAAAGTCTATAGGTCTTGCTGTGTCATGCTGCCTCTGGGTCCAGTGTGATTGATCACCCGTCAATTGCAGACCTGACTTTCAGCTTAGGACCTGGCTTTGATGTTTTTTTCAGTTGTACGTTTGTTCTTTTCTTTTGAGGGTGGATTCCTCTTCCTTTGTCAGGGCTGTTGTCTGCATCTTCAGCTGTTGGGTGTTTACACTTTATTTCATCAGGACAAGCTGGGGCTGGAGGTTGATTCCATCATCCATATATACCTCATTCACACATCTAAACTAATAAGATTACAACAGGGTTTTGCAAAAATGAAGGTTGCAGCAAGCTTTTACAAAACGGAGTGAGCATTTTAAAATGGAGTTTGGGACAAGTTAAAATGGAGTTTGAGCTACAATATGGACAAGTGCAAGGAATGGCAAACAGTGAACAGAAGTTACAATATAGACAAGTATAATGAATGACAAACAGTGAGCAGAAGTTACAATGTTGAAACAGTGCAAGTTTCAGCAATTTAAGCAGCCATTGGATTGAAAGTGAAACTCAATTAGCCAGTTGTTGGGGTAACCGGTTTCATGAATTAATGTTAAAAGAAAAGGAGTACTAGTGGCACCTTAGAGACTAACCAATTTATTTAAGCATAAGATTTCATGAGCTACAGCTCACTTCGTCGGATGCATTCAGTTTTCCACTGAATGCATCCGATGAAGTGAGCTGTAGCTCACGAAAGCTTATGCTAAAATAAACTGGTTAGTCTCTCATGTGCCACTAGTACTCCTTTTCTTTTTGCGAATACAGAGTAACACAGCTGCTACTCTGAAACCCATGAATTAATGTGGTTTCATTCATAAAACTTTGCTTATGAAGTTATATTAACAAAGTGAACAATTAAAAACATTTTCATTGATCAGTTCTACACTCTGGCCCCTTCTTACCCCATCTATTCCCTATTGTTTATGACTCCCACATGTTGTGTAATATCTAAATTTGGATTATAAATGTTTTGGTGCAGGGGCTATTCCTCAGCTGGTATAAACTGTCATATCGCCATTGAAGTCACTTCCATGAAGCTATGACTATTTACACCAGCTGTGGATCAGCCCCCATGTCTTTCGCTCTGTACTGTAAGGTGTCAAGCTGGCTTTTGGGTGCTCAGTAAGTAATAAAAACAACAAGAACTTGATCCTATACTCATTGAAGTCAATGGCAAAGCTCCCATTGACTTTAACAGTGCAATCAGAGCCTAAATGAATACTTAAAAACTAGAAAGTCTTATTAATATTTTTAGCTAGTCAATGTCGGCATGTTACCCCTAAAAATAATAGATACACAAGGCACCTGGGATGATCCACATTGCACTGAAATCAGTGACAAAATTCACATTGATTACAACGGAAGCCAGCTCAGGATCAAAATATGCATTGGTCAAATAACTGACTAGATTTGATGTCAGTGCAAAATGTGAAGTTTACCTAAGCAGAGCTTCCACAAATATTAGAGGTTTTGTGTGTGTCTAAAAAAATATATATTTCAAATGTAGTCATTTCCAAAAGCACATTGGGTAACAAAGCCTCATATTAATAGCACCTCCTCTTTTTCTCCTTTTCTGTGTTTAAATGGATCTTCCTTGTACATTTTAGTTCTATTTATTAAGCATTTCCCCCCGCACACACACACACACTCATTTCAGGGTATCATGGTTTCTTCCCCTTTTATAGCATTCAAATACTGCTGCAAATGTTAATTCTTGCAGTCTAGTGAGCAAGAATTAAACCCTTAGAAAAAGCACAGATTTATTTCTTAAATTTGGTATTTCAAACCCAGTCCCACAATAAGCAGCACTGCAAACCTTCCGTGTAATTCCACAGTGCATTTATGGGAAATAGGATTTCCAGCAGATATCATAGGAGCTAGAGGAACAAGTTATGGGTGATACGGTATAACACAAGTTGCCCCAGAAGGAGACCTCATTTTCTAGATTGTTCTGGGTTTGTTATGAAACTAAAGGACAGATGCTGCTGTCTTGATTCACACCAAGGAGTACCATGTCCTTTGTGTAGTATCTCGTTGGTTTCAGTGGGAGTATTCATGGAGTAAGGTGCTACTCAGCATGAGCAAGGTATCAGTGTCTGGACCTGAATATAAAGTATTTACATATGCAAACAACACCCACATAGTGTGAGACACTGAGATGCACCAGTAACACATCTGACACAACCTGCCAATTCTTCTTGGGTGTAATTACACCAGGGAAGAATTTGACCCCACCTGTACAGTCATGAACTTAGGAGGCAATTTGTAACTAAAGATACAAACAAAAATTGATAATTAGATTTTGTCAACTAATTAATATCCATCTAATGAGAACTGACAGTGGCAAACGACTGAAAAAAATTGAAATAGAACTGGTGATTTATTTTTGGATCATTCATTTTACTGCTGAGCTTGTTTTCTTCCCTTCATGCAATAAAGGGAAACAGCATGGAAAGGGAAGCTTTTTGAATGCCACAATATAGTTTTGGGGTTCTCAAAAATACTTCTAGTTCATGAACCTTTTATTCCTGTTATTTAAACCCACTCTTTTTTCACAGGCAGCTCAATTTAAAATATATCTTTTTCTACCTACAGGGCAATGGTGCTATGCACACTGTTAAGGACAAAAGAACAGCCCAGAAGAGGCTGGCCACAACATTTGTATGTCTAAGCAATTCTCAGTGGTTTTAGCCCTTGATAGAAATTCCATTTACTAAATCTACATTGATAGTACAGGATGGTCCAAAGCCTGTGCACTGTACTTAGCACCATGGGACTCTATTAGAGTCAACACACCCTGCACCCTGCTTCAGACACGCAGCATAGTCTAGAAGAAAGCAAGAGCCTGGCAGTCAAATTCCTGAGTTTTTAGCCTAGTTCTGCCACTTACTCTGTGTGTAGCCTGGGGCAAGTCTCTTAACCTTTCTTGCATCTGTTTCCCTACCTCCAAAAGTTGGAACTGGGGCCAATAACTACCTGCCCACCGTCCCTCACAGCTGTGTGGTAAGAATCTAATTAATGACTCGGCAGCGCTCTCAAGATGCTAGGCACTGCCTATAAAGTGCTAAAAGGCTGGGTCAAACAGCACCTCCAAGCTGTCACCCTCATATGCCATGGGCACTGCACCGGAACAGAGTTTGCCGGAGCAGCCTGGGTCGAGCAGCACTTTCAATCTGCCACCGTCATATGACCCTGGACTCAGCACCTCCCTATCCCCACATTCACATTACAATTGTTCTGGTAGTAACCCACTAGGTGAGCAAACCCCACAGGATTTTTGGGCCCTGCAGGGATCTTTAGCTTAGGAACAAGGAGCATTACTGCAGAGAGAGAGAGAGAGAGAGAGAGGTAACCAGCTTAACCATGAAAGTTATTTATTGCCAGGTAATAACCATACAAGGGGAGCCAAACAAACAAAACAGTTATAATATTAAATCTAACTTAAATTTGATTACAAAAGTTAGGTTTAGAAAATGATAACTGATTACGTAAGTCAGGGTCAGAAGGCTATACCTAGAGAGCAGAGAGAGAGAGAGAGATGGGTTCTCACCAGTCCATGAAGCTTGAATCGATCAGGAGTCCCAGGTGGTGGTGGTGGCTGAGGGTCCGGAGTGCTGGAGACAGGTAAAGCCCCCAGCACAATCAGTCAGGAGAAGATGAAGTCCCAATGGAACTGATGCAGATTTTGGATCCTGGCAGCAGAGCACTTACTTGAGCGTGGGTAGGGGTTTTTGTAGAGAAAGAACAATGGTTCAAGGGAGAACACTAGATTTGTTTATGGGTAAACTGATGGCTCAAGGGAGTATAACAAAGTTGTTTTGTTCAGGCTAGACAATAGGAACTGATCATTCCTGGCTATGGGTGGTGTTCCTTCGAGGGAGCTCACAACGCAATTAAGCAGCTTCAGTATTTTAAATACCAATAAAGCATTAATTACTAGAATTGGTCTGATAACTGCTGAGCTGGGGGTGTGCAGGCATTGGTTCATTAACATCTAGAGCAGAGATTCCCCATCATGCAGTGCTTCCCTGCTTTTCTGGTCCCATAGTTCAGTGCTGTTCTTGCCTTGGAATCTCTGTTCTCCATTCTGTATGCTAATGCAGATGCCTCCCTGTCCCATCTTTGATGCAAATGAGGCTAGGGGAGTTTCCTTAATCCTGTCTCCCTTGTCCGGTTTGGTTTCGGTGTGTCTTCTACTGCCTTTTCATTGCTTTTTGTAAGTCTTTCTTCTGATCGGCTTTTGTTCAAGCAGAGGCTGCAGGGTTGGGGAGGGGGGAAGGTCTTTCATGAATCAGATAGGCTGGATACTGCGCCCTGGTTCCCTGAGAACACGGAACTGATAGGTAACACCAGAAAGTGAGAACAGGCGTTCACATGGCACTGTTGTAGCTGGCGTCACAAGAAATTTATGTGCCAGATGCGCTAAAGAATCATCTGCCTCTTCATGCTTCAGCCAGAGGACATGCTTCCATGCTGATGATGCTTGTTAAAAAAAAATGTGTTCATTAGATTTGTGATTGAAGTTCTTGGGGGAGAATTGTATGTCTTCTGCTCTATTTTACCTGCATTCTGCCATATATTTCATGTTATAGCAGTCTCAGGTGATGACCCAGCACGTGTTGTTTGTTTTAAGAACACTTTCACTGCAAATTTGACAAAATGCAAAGAAGATACCAATGTGAAATTTCTAAAGATAGCTACAACACTCAGCCCAAGATTTAAGAATCTGAAGTGCGTTCCAAAATCTGAGAGGGTTGAGGTGTGGAGCATACTTTCAGAAGTCTTAAAAGAGCAACACTCTGATGCAAAAAATACAGAACCTGAATGACCAAAAAAGAAAATCTACTTTCTGCTGCTGATGGCATCTGACTCAGATGACGAAAATGAACATGTGTCGATCCACACTGCTTTAGATTGTTAGCGAGCAGAACCCGGCATCAGCATGGACACATGACCTCTGGAATGGTGGTTGAAGCATCAAGGGACATATGAATCTTTAGCGCATCTGGTATGTAAATATCTTGTGACACCAGCTACAACAGTGCTATGTAAACGACTGTTCTCACTTTCAGGTGACATTGTAAACAAGAAGCAGGCAGCATTATCGTCTGCAAATGTAAACAAACTTATTTGTCTGAGCAATTGGCTGATCAAGAAGTAGGACTGAGGGGACCTGTAGGCTCTAAAGTTTTACATTGTTTTATTTTTGAATGCAGGTTTTTTTGTACATAATTCCACATTTGTAAGTTCAACTTTCATGATAAAGAGATTGTGACACTGCACCCCATATTCTTCATAGAAATATTGTTATTATATGGATATGGCATAACTGAAATATGCAAGATGGGTCATGTGAGGTATCATTGGAAAGATTATGATCTACTGAATGTGTTTATCCAATCTGTATGCCTGTATCGTTTTTATATCTGAGGTTAGGAATATAGACTATGTAACAACTACAACTGTGTATGTATTTGGGGGAACGCCTACCAGACAGCAGGCAATCAGCCTCAATGGGTCATTTACAAAGAATAATAAGACTTGGAAGATACTAATCTCCCACCTTCCTGGAAGCTCCCAAGGTTGCTGCTTTAACACTACAGGGTCAGGTGATCGGGTCACCTGGTACTAGACCCCCATCATGGGCTTTCAGTGTTTTTCCATTAAAAGGGGGTGAGGGGCCAGACTGGGAAACAAAAGATTCCCATCTTATGTAAATTCTATTTAAGGCTGGGAAGTAAGGCAATCAGGACTCTTCTCCTTTGCCTCCCCTATCCAAGAAGGAAGATTACTAAAAACACCTGAAGGAAAAGGAACTAAGATGAGGGAATGGCAAGGGCTGAGTCCAGGCTGAGACAGGGGTTCAGTTTGTAAAGAGAAATAACTAGAACTCTAAGCTACAGAAAATTTGCAACCTGCCTGAAACAACATATAGGGTGAGAAAATACATTTTGTAACCTGTTTCTTTAGTGAATTAAGCTTAGGTTGTGTGTTCTGTTTTATTTGCTCAGTAATCTGCTTTGTTCTGTTTGCTATCCCTTATAAATCACTTAAAATTTACCTTTTGTAGTTAATAAACTTATTTCTTGTATATTTCAAAACGCAGTTTCTATACAGTGCAGGGCCCAGGGCATTGGGTGAGGAGCCGGTTTAAAGTGCCTCCCCCCTCCAAAATTAGTTACATTTAAATCCCTGTGCACGCCCCTGCACTGTACTGAGAGGAAGTGAATGATTCACCACAGGACTCTCAGTGCCTGTGAAATCCATTCCCCAGCTAAGTGGCACTGCCTACCTCTGGCTGGAGATTTTACTCTTTACAGCTGTGTCATAAATATAAAGGGAAGGGTAAACCCCTTTGAAATCCCTCCTGGCCAGGGGAAAGCTCCTCTCACCTGTAAAGGGTTAAGGAGCTAAAGGTAACCTCGCTGGCACCTGACCAAAATGACCAATGAGGAGACAAGATACTTTCAAAAGCTGGGAGGAGGGAGAGAAACAAAGGGTCTGTGTGTCTGTCTATATGCTGGTTTCTGCCGGGGATAGACCAGGAATGGAGTCTTAGAACTTTTAGTAAGTAATCTAGCTAGGTATGTGTTAGATTATGATTTCTTTAAATGGCTGAGAAAAGAATTGTGCTGAATAGAATAACTATTTCTGTCTGTGTATCTTTTTTGTAACTTAAGGTTTTGCCTAGAGGGGTTCTCTATGTTTTTGAATCTAATTACCCTGTAAGATATCTATCATCCTGATTTTACAGGGGGGATTTCTTTATTTCTATTTACTTCTATTTTTATTAAAAGTCTTCTTGTAAGAAAACTGAATGCTTTTCATTGTTCTCAGATCCAAGGGTTTGGGTCTGTGGTCACCTATGCAAATTGGTGAGGCTTTTTATCCAACATTTCTCAGGAAAGGGGGGGTGCAAGTGTTGGGAGGATTGTTCATTGTTCTTAAGATCCAAGGGTCTGGGTCTGTAGTCACCTAGGCACATTGGTGAGGCTTTTTACCAAACCTTGTCCAGGAAGTGGGGTGCAAGGTTTTGGGAAGTATTTTGGGGGGAAAGACGCGTCCAAACAGCTCTTCCCCAGTAACCAGTATTAGTTTGGTGGTGGTAGCGGCCAATCCAAGGACAAAGGGTGGAATATTTTGTACCTTGGGGAAGTTTTGACCTAAGCTGGTAAAGATAAGCTGAGGAGGTTTTTCATGCAGGTCCCCACATCTGTACCCTAGAGTTCAGAGTGGGGGAGGAACCTTGACAAGCTGCAATGAATTAACATGACTATGGTAAAGGACACCACCTCCTACTACTGTTTCAAACAGTGCAAATCATGGCTGACTTGCACTAGAGGTCTGCACCAATGCCGCTACATTGGCAGTGGCCACTAATGGCTGAAATTGGAGAAAATCCCCACTGTAGACAAGTTGTACACATGCAAAAGACAACATTTAAACCACAGTTAGTCACTCCTGTAATGGGTCAAAAAACATGTGACCTTAGCATTACTAGGGTTCTAGACTCCAGTTCAGCAAAAAATGTAAGCACATGTCTATTTTAATGCAATTCAGGTCTAAACTCATCCCCATTCAGCAACACAATTAAACACATGCTTAACTGTAAGTCTCATTAACTTCAATAGGACTTTTGGGACATTGCTCACTGGGATGGACTTTAGCATGTGCCTAAAGTGCCTTGTTGAATCAGGACCTCACTGCATTCTCAGTTATTGGAGTAATAAATATTGATATTAATACTTGTCACTTACATAGAACGTTCCTTCCGAGACTTTGCACATATTACTGAACTTAATTTCTCAACACTATGTGCAGTAAATTAGCATTAATATCCCCCATTTGACAGATGAGAAAGCTGAGACCCAGACATAGGGCAATGCTGTTAAAGAAAATTCACATAACAGACTTGATAAAGTTTGAATTCTTGCGTAATCATCATTTGATAGTAATTATTATTAGATAGTAATTATCATATTGTGTTGCTTTGGCACTGTCAAATAAATACAGACACTCTCTGATCATGGTGCACAGACCAGTGCATCCCTGAGTCCCGGATGTGAAATATTCCTTATTCCAAACTCTGGTATTCTATCTAATTTGCATTTTACATTTGGATTTAAGACCAGCAGCAGTGTGACATTAAGACTGGGGCACAGAGTTAAAATCCTATGCCCAGCCAAACAGCTGTTCTGATTACAGGTTTCAGAGTAGCAGCCGTGTTAGTCTGTATTCGCAAAAAGAAAAGGAGTACTTGTGGCACCTTCATCGGATGCATCGGAGCTGTAGCTCACGAAAGCTTATGCTCAAATAAATTGATTAGTCTCTAACGTTCTGATTACAGTTGTAAGCAGTGTCAGGATGAGCTCCACCCTGACATCTGGTGGTGAGGTGTGGCAATTTGTGGAAAAGAACTTCAGGGGCTGATCTCATTTGCATAGGCACACCCACCCCGCCTAGAATGAGGCCATAGCTGCCCAAATGGTCACTTTGGCTGCTGTGGGATCCCCAGTGTCTCTGTTATTGGGGCAGGAAGAATAAATTGTTATTATCCTGATTATGGGAACTGTGCTTGGAACTGTACTTGGCCTTTTGTTATGATGGAGGGACTCACCGTCACCTAAGTAGCACTTGCTAGGCAAGGGTCATGGGTTTTAAAACTCTGTAAATCGAGAGAGGCTGGGGACAAGTATTAATACTTGGTGGCATGGGCCCCTGGGTGAGGGCCTTACATGCTAATTGCACTT